AAGACAAGAAATGTTCTTCACAAAGCTAAGATGGTTCATGATCACAAAGTTAGTGCTGCAGAAAATACTTAAAGAAATACTATGCACATAGGAGAAAGAATAACAGTCTCAATCATGAATGCACAGGAAAGAATGCATTCCCTGAAAGGAAATCTGAACAAAGACAAGGTAGGAAGAAATCTATCATGTTCAACACAATAAACCTGGAAACTCCTAATACTATGAGGGAGTATAGGAACGATAATATAATTATCCAATCAATCAGAAAAACATCATGAAGTTCCAGAATCTCTCAATAATAACCTTCCACATTAATGGCCTCAAGTAACCAATAAAGGTACCCAGACTGGCTAACTGGCTTGAACAACTGTTTCTATTTTTTATCTTTAAGAGAAACATATTATTGGTAAAGACATAAAGAAAGGATGGAAAAGAATGTATCAACTTAATAGAAGCCCCAAACAAGCTGATATCCCGGTTCTAATAGCTAATAAAATTTACTTGAAATCAAAATTAGTCACAAGAGACAAAGGCCACCACATATTAATAAAGTGCATGTTCATGAAGAACATATAACAATTATAAATATATACACACCAAATGTTAGGGTCCCCAGTGTCATAAAATGAACACTAATGGACATGAAAGATCAGACAGGTATGGGTACAATAATAGTGGGTGATTTCAATATCACACTAGACAGATCATATAAGCTAAAATTCATATAAAGCACAGAAAACTCTGAATAGCTAAAGCATTCTTTAGCACAAAGAGAAAATTAGAAATTATCACAATACCTGATCTAAAATTATATTAAAGAGCCATGTAACAATAACAGCATAGTAATTTTCACAATACAGACAAATGGAATAGAATAAAAAATTCAGAAATAAATCCACAGAACTAGAGCTATGTAATTTTTGACAAAGTTGTGTCATAAACATACATTGGTGCAAAGAGAGCCTCTATAACAAGTGGTGCTAAGAAAATTGCATTTCTAGGTGTAAAAAAATGAAACTAGATCTCACTCTGCACAAAAATTAACTCAAAATGGATGAAAGACCTTTAATGTAATGTCTGAAACTTTGAAACTGCTAGAGGAAAACATAGGTAAGACATTTTGAGTCAGCATAGGCAAAGTTTTTCTGAAAAGCATCTCAGAAGCACAGGAAGTGACAAATGGGATTACATTCAATTAAGAAGTTTCCACACAGCAAAAGAAACAATCACAAGAGCGAAGAGGCAGTCTACTGTTTGGGGAAAAAATGTATCAACTATTCTTCAGATAGGGGACGTTTAGGATATATTGCAACAGCAAAACTAAACACCATGAACCCAGATTATATAATCAATACAGTTCTCAAAAGAGGAAATTCTAATTACCAGTAAATACTTTAAAAGTTTAATAAATAACATCCTTAGCCATCATGGAACTGCAAATTAAAACTGGTCTGATTCCATCTTACTCCAGTCGTAACAGCTATCATCAAGAAAAAAAATGCTGGTGAGGATATAGGGGGAAAGGAATTCTTTTTCATGGCTGATGGGAATGTAACTAGAACTAGTCTAATCACATGAATGGTAGTAAGGAGGTTCCCTCCAGAACTAAGAGTAGATCTACCATATGAGCAGGCTGCACCATTCTCAGTATATACCTGAAGTACTCTAAGTTAATGTACCACAGAGATATTTTCACATCCATGTTTATTGCTCCTCCATCCCCTGTCCAGCCCAAGACTCCATCCCCTACTCTCTTTCGTCTTTTAGTCGCTTCACTGCCCCTTTGGACTCATCTAACATCCCAAAATCAAAGGGAGCTCCAGGCTCTTTCCTGGCTCACTGTGCCTTTGTCCTCTGGATTCTAGCCTAGCAATGTTCCTCTACCTGCTAACTTTTCATGTCTTCAAGGAGGCGACTTTTATATTTTTGTTCAAATTTCCTAATTATTTTCAGCAGGACAGGCATAAATATCTTAATTTTCTAACACGCAAAACAAATGTTTCTCACAGTTCTTGTAATTTTCTTTAAATCATATAGTGTTTAAAAGATTTTGTATTACTGAATAAAAATTGTAATATCTGACTTTTATTGATATCTAAATTTACTCAAGATGAAAATCAGTTTGGATACCTAGGAGGAACTGACTCCTTTAGGTCAAACACTTGCTTTCAAATTCTATTGTTTACAACCAGCCACTGTATTTAACAAATATGATGTACTGAAGAAGGCAATTTAAAGAAAGAAAAGTTTATTTGACTTGCAGTTCCAGAGGGAGAGTTCATAATGGCATGAGAGGCAGAGGTGGGCAGAAAAGAAAGTCAAGAACTCACATCTTCACACAGGCACAGGAAGCAGAGCAGAGAAACGGAAAATCTGGCAGGCTTAAGAACTCTCAAAGCCTGTCCCCAGTGATGTGCTTCCTCCTCCATGGAAATATCTTCTACAGATTCCATGTCCTTCCCTAAGCAGGGCCAGGACTATGGACCAAGTATCCAAATACTTGGAGCCTATGGGAGTCATACTTTCAAACTACCACATCTGCATAGCTACTGTAATCATACTTATTAAAAGCAAATCCTTTAAATTTAATAGAATCTTTTTAGTTCAAAGAATCTTTTTTGTTTGTTCTGAGGCAGGGTCTCCTTGTATCCCCAACTGGCTTGAAATACTTTATGTAGACCAGGCTAGCCCCAGTCTCATAGAGATCTGCCTGCCACTGCTTCTCAAGAGTCTTTTTAATAATCAACATCTTCATTTCTTTACATTATAGTCACTGTTACACTTCCATAACTTAAAAGTACGAACAGAATATGAAATTAGTCCAAACTTTTCCCAAACTACTTCAAAGACATCTTTCTTGTTTTCCATGGTTTAGTCTCTCATGAAAACATCAAGTTCACTGAAGAAGTTTATTTGCAATTAGCCCTTATTATTATAGCTGAAGAGAGAAAACTAGAAGATCATATCCTTTATAATTATTACAAGAACCACATTGTTAGAAGTCCCAGCACTACTCTTAATTTAAATGGTCAATTTACTTCTTAGAATCTGATTTCTCACTAGTTGATTTAGTATAATAATGACTGCTCCTCCAATCCTAGAGTAACTATGAGACTTTAAAACTAATGTAAAATCAGAATCATTAAGTAGATACTTAATGTCACCATTTTGCTAAGTATATATGCTTTATAAGCATATACTTAGGGCACTTAGGGACCACTTAATATTTGTCACACATTGCACTGTCATACTTGCAGATAGACACAAACTAGTGGAAATAAAATGTTGGTCCTCAAGGCAGCAAAATTTTATTTGGGAAGGGAGGTCACATAGAAAGCAGTATAAAATATATACGAAATACTTTTGCATATGTAAAATGGCAGCCAGCATAAAGGGGAGCAAATCATGCCATGACAATGCCAAATAGCAAAAAGTTTAGAATGCTGAGCAAGGAAGGCTCTTGGAGAAAGTTTTTGGGTCAGACTTTGGGGAAAGTTTTAGATATGGGATTGTAGGCTGGAGGATGGGTATGCAAAGTTTGAACAGCAAGTGAAGCTTTGGAAAGCTTTTCTTTTCGGGAGCTCAGTCAATCATCCTTTAGCTTTTTCTCTGCAGAATTCTGAAGGACATTTTGCAGAATATTGCCCGGAGTTGACTTTTTCATGTTAAAGAATCATATAATATAATGTACAAAATATATGAGACTAGGAAATGAAAGACCATCTGATAATCATCACAAGCCTCAACTCAGTCTGGTCTACCTCACTCTTTGCAATAGAATAGACATGCTGGGATTTCTGCAGCATAGAATTAGGTGCTCAAGATGTAGATTTTGACTTTAAGGAATTTACAATTGCCAATATATTCTTACATTCTTAAATGAGAAGTTAAACTGCATCCATTAGTCACCTAACTATTTGAGAATGCCACAAGGCAGTGGATAATAAATATTAAAAATTTCAATTTTGACATGTTCATAAGAGATAAAATCCTTGGGAGCTAGTATGGATGGAAAATGTTTCATGGAAGATATGTAAATTAGAATTAGTTCAGCAGGGAGATCATAGAAGTTGTCTAATCCAACCAGATAAATCCCTTCTATCATTAATAAATGGTTCCATCTTTTTAAAAGCCATGTTCAGTAGCAGAGAATTCACATTTATGAGATAGAATGTCTTCATTTATACAAATTTCCAAATCAGCCCCCTAATTGAACCCGATAGAATTTCCTAACCGGCGTGTCCTACCATCCTTAGGTGATGCTGTGTATTTTGGCTGCGCTGGCTTACCTACTCCTTTAATCCACCAAGTGGTTCCATTGGTCCTGAACATGCCCTGGGACAATGGACCATGAGAAGCCTTTTATGTTCACACCTTGGCTGTTAAGTTCCATCATCTCTTACGTGTATCCTGCTGTGAAAATGATGGGGAAGCATTGTTTAGCACAGGGGATAAAACTGGTGAACAGGACACCCCTTCACCCCCAGCATTCACATTTCTGCCCGTTTTGTGGAAAAGGCAATGAATTTGGAACGACACTTCTGGACGCGATCTCGGAAATTACTGTTCACTGAGTTTGTAACTTTGGATAGGGCGCTCAATCCCTCTGAGGCTGATTTATCATCTGTAAAATGAAGATTGATAAAATTTACTTTGCAAATGTGTTTTGACCACTAAATATGTGAAAGTACGCAAATTGCTTGGCACACAATTGGAACTAAATGGAATACTCATTTCCTCAGCCGTGGCTGCACCTGAGGCTGCGCGTGGGACGCGTGAGGTGGGTGGAGGCCACTCTCAGAGAAGCTGGAACTTTCTTTAAATCTCCCAGCAGGGCTATGCCAGGATAGTCTCCTAAAAGAAAGAAGCCCAGGAGCTCAGAGACAACACATGCAAGGACCGCCCCTGAACTACATCTCCCGGGATGCTCAGCAAGAAGAAGCACCCCCGCCCAGCCCTGCCCCGCCCAGCCGGGCAAAGCGGGCGCTGCCCATCTAGAGGAACCCAGCGAGGAACACCGGCTACAAGTGCTGCGGCTGGGAAATGGGGGACTTTCTCCCTGAGCCGCTCTGAGCCGTGCGCGCCAGGCTCCAGCCTCACTGGGTGGCTGAAGCAGAAGGTAAGTGCTGAGAGTGGGATGGGGAGGAGGAGCCGCGCCTTGGGAGAGAGCGGGAGCCAGGATCCTAGTCGGGCAGGGGCTAGTGCCCTCCACTCCCTGCCCTAGGTGCAGGCTTCGTTGCCGGATCTCCGAGGACGCCGCCCGACTGAGGGTGCCTGGATAGGCTAAGAGTTCGCTCTGAGGACTGACTGATTCCGCTGCGACTCTCTGCGGGGTACAGACGGCGGGTCCTTCTCACCCAGCGCACGCTCTTCCTGCATCCCACATCCTGAGGTGGTCTCCCAAGAGACCAGCCTCGCTCTAGTTAGTTCCTTTGCATATTTTCTGCCCATAACTGAGGAGAGGCTGACCAAGGGAAGACGATGTCCCCTTGCTAGAAGGTGCAATCTCGGTAACAGGGCTTTTAGACAAATCGGAGATTAAAAAAAAAAAGGGGGGGGGACCTTTCATTGATCCCTTAGGGATTATTCGTTCTCCGTTGAGAATTGAAGCCCGGATTATGGAGCTGCAAAGAAAATCAACTGTACAGCTACAGTCTCCCAAAGAATAGAGTCTTTCTTCCTTTACGAGAGAAATAGATAGAAGAGAACTATTTCTCTCCCCTTTGTTTTAAATTGTAAGTCCCATAAGGAACCTGCAGATAAAAGAGTCAAACATGATTACTTAATTGTGCCAAAGGTTAATCAGAGCGCCTGATGCCTCAGGGATGTAACAGAGGATTTCTCGTTGGTAATTGACGAAACGCATTCCCATCGCTTAGTTCATTGAAGGATCCTTCAGTAGGGGCTTGTCCACTTGCTAAAGGAAAACAAACTCTGGTTGAGCTCTGGTTGAGTTGTGGTTTTCTTTCGAGTAGCACCGCGCTTTTCTTCATTGTTGTTTTTTCATGTTTTAGGTACCGGGAACGGGGCCGGGGGGAGGGAGGGAGGGAGCACCTTAGACTTGAAATATATCAGAAAATGTCGATTTTCTTTCCTGTAGGGAGTTGCCAGGCCGACCTTAGATGAGGCTTACTTGTACCTCTGTCACCAGCTGCTGAAGCTGTGGATTTTGACTCATTATCATGTTCCTGCCATGGGTTAAAATCAGTTATCACTCTGGATTTTAAATAAAAATTAAAGGAGCCCTTGGCTAAAATCCCTATAGTTACTGAGAGTGGAAAGTGACTTTTTATTCTCCAGAAGGCTGACAGAGATGGAGAAAGATGGGCAAATGGCTTTCTGTTCAAACGAGAGCTCAGATCCCACCAAGACCCTGCACTGAGGGGAGGAGGGGGAGTGCCATGGGCACAAAGCTGCAGAGGTAGCCTTGGGAATCGCCACACCTGTTTGCCTTGGCTCAATGCTGTGGGTTTGTCATTTCTCTTATCCTCAGCCTACTTCTAGATTGGGTTTGTAAACATTTCTGAATGGCCACTTTCTTGTGCATTTGTCAGCAAGCTGTAAGGTGATCGGAACTCAGATACAGTGAGACCTTTGTGAGTGGGCATAAGCGACATGCAGTCGGAGAGGGTAGTACATGTGTATGAACCAGGCTAGCTCATTGTGTTTTGCAGATCCCAGTGAAATGTGTTGTCTACACATAAGCTACCCCTGTGGAGTAGGGAGAGGATGAAGCAGAATAGAAATACAGTGAAGAAGCTCCATATGGTCATGTGGTTGCCAGACCCCAGGCTGTGTGTTGTGGGTTTCGGGATATATGAAGTGAAAAGTTAAGAGATGACTGATGAATCCACCCTTTGGCTCCTAAATCAAAATGCTAAGCTCCTGTAATGGAGTCCAGCCAATAAGAGAGTATATTCATTAAAGCTAATCTATATTAGAATCTGTTCTGAACTGGTGTATAAACATCCATTCTAATTGAATTGTTAAGAAGCCTGTGCTCACTCAAGACCTCCAGAAAATTAGTAGCTCTGCTCAAAAGGAGCCCTGCTTCTCTCATTTGTGTCTTTGTACAGGAAACCTGCCTTCTCATCTGAGGGATCCTGTCACAGGAATGTGTGAGTCCCTGGATAAATTTGGCCTGGTGACAGCAGCATGCTTTCTCAGGACATACTGCCACTTCCTCCTTGCTCCTTTTCTACCCTGACCTGAGTCTCTCACAGCAACCCTGGGACAATTCAGGAGATTTGCCCTTTCCACACTCTCCTGCTGCCAGGTTCCCTTTCCTGTCTTTGGTCCCTCTTACTAGGAACTAGTCTAAGGTGCCCACAACCAGCCATGGCTGCAAAGGAAACAGGGACCTGAGGAGTAGCACTCTCTGCAGAATGACCTAGTTCCTGGTGGGTTCTCAGCTGTGTTGCTATTGGCAGAATTTCTGGAGGCTGCTGGAGGAATATCTGACTACTTCCCATGGAACTCCACTACCTTGTTCAGAAGAACAGCCCAGCAGACCTGTGCACTGATGCGAACTGGGGTTCAGGAGGGCCTCCTGGTGACCAGACACAAGTGGCAGTGATGAGAGCTGCTCTTTGCTGTCAGAAATATTGTACATCCACACCAGGAACAGCTGGAGTGGAAGGGTCTAGACTAAGCCCTTCTCTAGCATCCCCCTCCTCCTTACCCCAAGACAGGGCTGTTTACCCAAGCTTTTTCCCACCAGGACCTCTTAGCTCAGAGAACAACCAAGTAATGGCAGAACAAAAAGTCTGCAATTGTTGTAGCCAGGAATTAGAAACTTCTTTTACCTATGTGGATGAGAATGTCAACTTGGAACAGAGGAATCAGAGGTCCCCCTCAGCAAAAGACAGTAATCACCTTGGAGACCTTGGCTGGGGAAATACAAATGAATGGTCCCATGATGCTGCCATATCATTAATATCTGAAGATGAAGATGACATGAGTTCCGAAGCCACATCTTCAGGAAAGTCTGTAGACTATGGTTTCATCAGCGCCATTTTGTTCTTGGTCACTGGCATCTTGCTGGTGATCATTTCTTATATTGTCCCTCGGGAGGTGACAGTAGATCCCAACACAGTAGCAGCCCGGGAGATGGAACGTCTAGAAAAGGAGAGTGCAAGGCTAGGGGCACACCTGGACCGCTGTGTGATTGCTGGGCTCTGCCTCCTCACACTTGGGGGAGTTGTTCTCTCCTGTTTGCTAATGATGTCTATGTGGAAGGGCGAACTCTATCGTCGAAACAGATTTGTCTCTTCCAAAGAGTCTGCAAAACTCTATGGTTCTTTCAATTTCAGGATGAAAACCAGCACTAATGAAAACACCTTGGAACTGTCCTTGGTAGAGGAAGATGCTCTTGCTATAGAAAGTTAATTCTGGTTATGAACCTCTTGAGAGTCAGGTGTGGCATTTTGTATGAAAAAAAAAAAGTCAATAGCGTAATTTATTTGCTTGGCAAGAAAAGTTTATTTCACAAACCAAAACCTAGTGCGTATTTTGCTCCCATGAGTTGTCTATTTAGAAATCCCATGTAAGATGTAAAAGAAACCACAGCTGGCTACACCTGTCTTTCTGAAAGCTGAACACCAATTCACCTATAATGACCATGAGCTTCTGCTTCTAGAGCAAAATACTTCCATTGACAATGTATGAATGATCCCTTTATGTAAATATGGGGTATTATTCCTGAGTACTACCCACATATAATGGAATCAGTTGGTGATCTGCTTTATGAAGCACAAGCACAAGCAGACAGTAAGGACTACATTTAATTTTCAAAGGTACTTACCCATTTTCTTGCTAAAATTTTCTTCCAATAATTTGGCTGGACATTAAAATGTAGACTTTGAGAATGTGAATATTTTGAAACTTAGGGATGTTGGTTATTTTTTAAAAGCTATAAAAGTGTTATATTTTAAATTATGGCTCTATTTAGAAATGGCAGCTGTGTTATTAAAGTGTACCTTCTAATAAAAAAGTATATAAATCATCTTAAGATCCATGTGTGATTAACCCACAGTATTAGTTCAAGGTGCTTGTCATATGTTTCTTCCTTTATGAAGTAAAATTAGTTGTGGATATACATTTTATTTTCTATTTATGGTTTTGCCATCATCCTGAGTGTCCATCCCCTGTGCCTTTGAAATCTTTGCCATTTCTCATATAAGAGTGGCAAAGCATGAGATTTTTAAAATATATCTCCTGACAGCTAAACATCTACAGAGGTCTGAGTCATGATTGTTTCTGGCATGTTCCCAGGTGACATTTTGTTGTAGTAATGTGGAGAAAACCTTCAATATAATTGCATCTAGACTCTTGGGAACTATGCCTAGTACAACAAGCCATTACCTGAGGATACCTTAAACTCATAGCCAAATCTTACACTGGAAAGAAAAAAATTAAACCCACTCATTCAGTGAGCATTGCATCCATCGCTAGACCTCACTTCCCCTTGACAAGGTCTAGACATCGGTATAAGCACCTTCTACTTGGACCCCTCAGTGACTGTGTTCTTGCCTCATAAAATGAAAACTCCTGGTTTATGTGAGGCACTGTGGACAGAGTGGTCAGGAAAAGGCTGAAGACGGCAGCCTAAGAAAGGTTTTCCACAGGTGTTCCCTGAAGTGATCCTAGCCTCCCAATGAAGGCATATTATTGGCATGTTACAAGGACCAGTGGGCTCATTCTTAAAAGAGAACTGGAACCAGGAATGGGTATGAAATGGAGGGAAGGATCAAGTGAGAAAGCAATTTTTCTTGTAATATTTGCGTTGTCATTAAGGACTATGGGAAAGGTGTATGAGTCAGGATCTATATGAATGATCCTTTGTGGATGTCAGAGAAAATTGTTGGGGTAGCTTAATTAAAAGCTAAACAAAAACACAGTACAGGAGGATGAAGTGGAGAGGGCTGGCATTGGACAGAATTGTTAAGTAAGAGAAAGAAATCCTGTGGGGAACTAAGGAAAGGAGGTGCAGCCACTTTGTGCCCCCAACAGAAGTTCACGACCATGGAGCCACAAAGATCACTGAGTCACAAGCATTGGAAGAATGGAAGCATTTCTGTTTCTTAGAGCTGGTTCTTCGTGCTTTTTATTTTGCTGTGACTCTCATGTCATCTGTGTTGAGGCCGTCTTCCCAGCAATTTAAATTTTATGTTCTGAAGCTTTGTGAATTATCCCATTTCTAGCCTGCTTCTGTGAGTGAACGGTCTGAACTGAGTTGAAAAAACAAGAACAAAACTTGTAAAGCACATTTTAAACCCTGTTAAAATCCAGGTGTGGCGACTCATACTGACAATCCCAACACTTCGCAGGATGAAGGAGGAAGATCATTTCAAGTTCAAGGTCAGCTTGAGCCCAATAGTGAGTTCTAGTGCAGCCTGGGCAACAGAATGAGACTTTGTCTCGAAAAAATACAATAAAATATTTGTTTATTCATATATCATCTCTGTGAATTTTATTTATTTATTTATGGATGTGATGAATTAGCTACATGGAATGTGAACTAATCTGTGGCCCAAATATCAGCTCTTGATGAGTTTGAAAATCAAACATTTAAATTCTGTAAAACTGATGATAAAGAAAAATGCCAAAGCTTTTCATATAGAAATATTAAATGACTTACTATTCTAAATCATATAGATATATCTAAAGACAACATTTTGTAAAATGTCTTTTAAGAAAAGAACATTTTAAATTGAAAATAAACAAATGCTAATTTCAACTTTATTTAAATTTGTTCAGATACCTAGAACATGATTCTTCAGGTTCTGCTTCTACAAGAGAAGGCTATTGCCCCAAAGGGAACAATTCAGAAGCTTACCTGAATGCCCCCTTCAGGCTGGACTTATGTAATTCTGATAATTGACTTAACCAGCTTTCCCCCAGCTTTTGCATTCATATTGCCCCCACCCATTCTGTTGGTGCCTGATTTAGAGATGAAGATTACTTGAATTTTAAATGAAGGTAAGGACTGAAGACTGTATTAGAGCACTTGCCTAGAACACATGAGGTACTAATTTCAGTCCCTAGTGCTGCAAAATAATGATAGTAAAGGTAACACAGGCAAAGAAAAGTTCTGAACTTTTTGTACTGATATTTTCAGTCTCATCCAAAGTGGTTTTGATACTAGATGTACTTTGGTCTAACCATGTGAGAGATGAAACCGACCTCAACAGACTAAAGATGCTGTGATGTTGATCATGTATCCTTCATGAAGATACATGATCCTCCAGCTATCTTTTCAACACAAGGCTGGTTGTTTTCTGTGTAAGTTTCTATTGTTAGACCCAGAGAAGCAATACTTCTGGAGATCCTAGGTCTTCAGCTTCTTTATTTGGTTGTAGATGGTTCAACTTGTATTCAATATCTTAATCTTAATGTTCAATATCTTAATCTTAATGGTTAGGCAAGTGCATCATTTAACAGCCTGGCCCAATGGGAAAAAAAAGCAGCCTTTCTTTTTGACTATTGAAATCGGCAGCATAGGTTGCTTATATCCTTAATAAACTCCTCTGGTTGGGTGTGTCTTAAAGGGACGTACTTTGCATAAGCTCTCTTTGCAATGCTGTTTCCTTGCTGGCCGTTTGGAACAACTGATGCAGACCATATAATATAATGTACTAACCTTTCATATCCAGGCTTCTTACTAAACTGCTGATTAGTGGTTCAGGAAAGGATAGGGCTGCCAAGAACCAAGGAGTTCTCCAGATCTGGCTGTGGGTGCTTTGACCCCTGTGACTGATAGGTCCCTTGATTCTGCCATACCTAGAATCTTGCCTTGATATCAAGAGCTTTAACATCTGCTAAGAATATCTGAGACATTCCATGTATTTTACCTGTTTGACTAGTGCTGGCATATGTCTTTAGAGGTGCAAATTTAAACAAACTGCCATACCCAAAAATTTATTATCATTCTCTCTCTCTCTCTCTCTCTCTCTCTCTCTCTCTCTCTCTCTCTCTCTCTCTCCCCCTCCCTCTCTCTCCCCCCTCCCCCCCCAGGGAAAGATCAAAAAGGGTCAGATCAAAGAAGTGAATGAGTACTCAAGAATTAAGGATCTCAACACAATTGTTTCCCTTTCCTTTTTTAAAATCTTATTTATAACAGGAAAGCATTCTAGACAGTTACATCTGAAAATTCTGGTCCTCATCTTTCCTCTGCACATACTACAAACACTGTTCTGGATTAATTGCCAAAGCTAAAGAGAAGATGTCTGTGGAAGGTTTTTCTTTTTCTTCTTCTTCTTCTTCTTCTTCTTCTTCTTCTTCTTCTTCTTCTTCTTCTTCTTCTTCTTCTTCTTCTTCTTCTTCTTTCTTCTTCTTCTTCTTCTTCTTCTTCTTTTTAAGACAGGGTCTCACTATATAGCCTTGACTGGCCTGGAACTCATTATGTAGACTTGGTTGTCCTGGAATTCACTATGTAGACTGGGTTTTCCTGGAACTCACTATGTAGACTGGGTTGTCCTGGAACTCACTATGTAGACTGGGTTGTCCTGGAACTCACTATGTAGACTGGGTTGTCCTGGAACTCACTATGTAGACTGGGTTGTCCTGGAACTCACTATGTAGACTGGGTTGTCCTGGAACTCACTATGTAGACTGGGTTGTCCTGGAACTCACTATGTAGACTGGGTTGTCCTGGAACTCACAGAGATCCTCCTGCCTCTGCCTCCCCAGTGCTGGGATTAAGAATAAATGCCACCATGCCCAGCTTGTCTATTGGAAGATTTTTTTTTCAATTTGAAGATCAGATTCTTTTGCAGCAGTTAATTCTACCACAAAAATATGACCTGATAACAGAGATTCACAGTATTTGTCAAAATTTTGCCTGTGGCAGCAAGATATACCATCCGCTAGATCCTAAAGCACTAGCAAATAACAGATCCTTAAAGTTTTCTATGATAGGTTTAACTTTTCCCAGAACTGAGCATAAGGAACGCCTAAGATGAGAAGAACTGAAATGAAGTCTCAATGGGCTTTTCCTATTGTGTAAGAGTTCATAAGACATAATTACCACGATGTTATCTCAGCTTATTTTCCACTATATAATTTTATCGTTTGTGCAATATTCTATAAAAAAATTCTCCTTCAGCTTTTATGGACATGTATATCGGGAAGTAATTTGCATGACTATGGCATCAACACTGTAAAAAGAAAGATGCCATTTTAAACACACAGAATTACTTTAAAAATGAATACCTTACAGTTAGGAGCATATTCATGGTTTGTGTTTGTTAGTATGAAAGTTTATATGCACAAATTTATGTATGTAGTAGGATATATTTTATAGTTACAGAATGTTAATATCCCAAAGTTATTGTTAGAGTGATCTTCTTATAGGAATTTGGCATGCCTTGTATTCATGTTATGAACAAAAGAGTATTTCACTGTTCACAAGGAATTTGGAATCAGCTTCAAAATGAGATGCCATCATTACATAAATCTGTTTTGTCTGATCAGAATCCCAGAAATGCTTATCGATTTGTTTTAACTTTTCAATTTCAAGCTCATAAGAGTGTTGTGTATTTATAAATTATTTTACCATGAATTGTCTTTTTCTTACCTAGAAATGTGGGCAGCACAGTCTTTGGCTCCAAGGTTTAGTGACTCTCCTGTGTTTCAGAAACAGCCAGGCTTATTTTTTCATTGCTATCTTTTTGGTTCCTAGCCAGGCTACAAACACATTTGTGCAAGAAAGCAAAGGTAAATTCTTCCTGTACTGTGTATGTAGAGCTTTTACTCCATGGTTTTCTTTAAGATTTTAATTCTACTTTTCTTACCAAATGAAAGTAATTGATGCTGACTATGTGCTTTTTGGTATTATAAAAGGCAATTGATCATGGGAGGCGAGGAGCTTTTCCACATGGGGTTGATGCCTTATATGTTAAGAGCAAGTGTATCTTATCATTTTAAAATAAAACTATTTATTAAGATAGTTTTGCTGTGTTAACTTTTATTGAAGTCTAATCTAATATACATTTGGTCTTTTAAACATATTTTAAAAATTATCTGTGCCAGAGAAAATATTAAAAGTAACACTTATCCCCAAGTCAAATGAATGTCATCTTACTACCATATCATTAAAATATGTAAACTAGGCCTTACTAAGTTTTGTGTGTATGAAATAATGAAAGCTATTAGAGTTCTATAAATTACTTGGTATTGTATCAGTAAAGTATGAGTTACATGATGTGAATAAAGTACATGAACACATTTTAAGAAGGTTTTAGATAAGAAGCAAGTATTGAATTATCTGATATTTCTTCCCTTAACCTTATCTTAATCTAAATTTTGATATCCATTTTTACTTGAGGCATGCAGAATGCACATGTGTCTCTAAATGGAATCATGTCCTTATTATGTGTTGTGTAAGTGGTGTCAAGGTCACGGATTCTAAAGAGACAACTGAAAGCAAGGGCCAATATATTGTTTTACCTTCTAAAAAGGTCAAGCCTCTTATCTACTATTAAAGAAAAACATAGTTATTTATTCATATATATTTTTTGCTAGAATGACTTTTAGTTTGTTAACTACCTCTGATCATGTGGAAGGAGCTGAGGAGGATAAATTCCACAGTCTCTTGCTACATGATCCTTGCGACTCACAGCAAAGAAACTCAAGGATCTAGTCTGATTCTGCTGTCTTTACAGATGTTGCTGGTTACAAAGCTAGAGAGTAAAGGATAGTCTGAGAAGCACCAAACAACTTATAAGTTGCAGCTGGTTATATGGCACGCCAATAAGTATGGTTCCATCACTGCCTGGAGGAGGGGAGAGCTCAAGCTGCCAGTGACGATAGTTGCTGCCTTCATTTCTACCATCTCTGCTTTGCCCATTTATAAATGAACATAATATTCCATATATTCCCAAATGATGACCTGCTTCATTCAATACTTCCATGGTGGGGGAAAAAGTTTCTAAAGATGCCATAAAAAACATAATTTTGTAGCTTCTGTTAAAGATTCTTAAAAGGGGAAGTTATCCCAGTTTACCTCATCTGTATGATTTTATTGCATCATTTTATCAAAATCAGGAGATTAAGTTAGTACTTATCCTTTCAGTTCATGGACAGAAGGAACTACTCTATTTTTCTTTATTTTTATTCTTATTTTTATTTTTTGAGACAAGGTCTCCCAGTGGCCCCAGCTGACCTAGAATTCGCTCCGTAGGCTGGCCTCAATCTCACAGAGATCGTCTCGCCTCTACCACTTCAGTGCTGGGATTAAAAGAGTGTGCTACCAGGCCTGGTTAAGGAAGGATTTTCTTGAGTCTTTAATGATGCTTTTTGATGGAAACTTTGCCTCAGTTAATTCTTAACATACTTCTGTGAGTATTACTGTCTGCATCCTAACAATGAATTGAAAAACTAAAATTGCAGAATGCTAAATGATTGCCCTAAACTCTAAAATAGTAAGCAGTAATTAAAACCTATAATTGTTTCACTGAAAACCCGTATCTACTCAAAGTTAGGACTGTTGCCCTTACAGTAAAATCAATTTATACTCTCTGTTGTCCTTTATAATTATCATTTTACAAAATGGTTCAGATAAATCTATACTGACAATTTTCTTGGAGCTGAAAAGAAAATGTAGGCACTTTTCCTCCATGCAAAATAATGTATATAGGCCTTATGTAGTCTTCAGTAAGGAATCCAAAAAGAGACAGAATGCTATATATGAATATTTACAATCTGCCAAACATTCTTTCATGTAGTGTACGATGCTTGCTTAATCTTCATAGCACATAGTACTATAAGGCTTCAGAAACAAGGAAAC